ATGAGAAAAAGTAGTAGACTTCAAAATTGTTATTTCTTACTACATCAAAAATTTGTTGTTGTTAGTACATGAGAAGGAATAAATGGGAAAGTCAGGAGATAACGCTTGAAGAATAAGATTCTTGAAATTGAGATTATATCATGGATGCAATTATGATAAAGATAAGGTCAGAGTGTAACCAAGAGAGTGAAAACCTGGTTGTTGGAGGACGTGGTCATGGAGTAAGAGGTTTTTGAACTGTTAAATCAGGATGTTGAAAGGATCATCTAGTAGATATTGAAATCAGATTTGTGAAAGGTGTGGTTCTTGGAGGAGTAATGATAAACCAAGACATTTTCAAGCAATGAGAGTGAGTTGTCTGGAGGTAGGTGTGTGGTGATCTGCAGAAAACCACAGCAAGAATGGTAGGTATTATAATCAGATAAAATAGATCAAAGGCTGTCTAGCCATAATGGAAAAGCAAGTATTGTACTTATCCTTCTATCTTAAATAACTAAGAACAAATAAATTTAAAATACTGTATATGAAACAATGGTTCTCAGACTTTGGACAACAGACAGGGAAGGACAGTGATTCCTACAATGGCTTTAGTTTACTTCCTGGGGAGAATTTCTAGGCAGCAGCACAGAGATGGAGAACCCAGATAGAGTCCAGCAGTTTTTCTAAGTTGAGACAAAATTGAGAATTTGAAGAGGCCATAATAGCTAGAATACTTAGAGGAGACTCCCAGAGTGGACGAAGAGTCGTAGAAAGTTCTCGAACTACAGGGGTCCCTCTTGAGTCTTCAACTGAGCACTGATCAGTGGATGGTGAGGAAACTACCGAAGACTAGAGAAAGAACCTCTCAAAAGGAGCAGGCAGAGCAGTTCTCAAAGTTCACATATAGCTGGGGATAGTTCACATTCCCAACAGCCAGAATGCAAAAACCCCTGTGAATGCATTCTATATGTTCAAGAAAGTTAAAGAAAGCTTGAGCATATTAAGAAGAGACATAGAAAACATAAGAGAAGACCAACATTAAATGTCTAGAAATGAAAAATTTGACCACTGTTTGATGAAACAAAATTAACTGTTCAGGATCTGACAGCAGATTAGACATTCCTTAGATCCAAGATTTAGTTGTAGAAACTATCCACAATGGAACAGAGAGGAATAAAGACGAGGAACAAATTAACAAAAATCTTGACCATTTATGAGCTGTACAATAGTTTCAAGTGGGCTTATATGCATGTAACTGGAACCCTAAAAGGAGGAGAGAGAGGTAAGGTAGAAAGGCATAGAATAAGATGGGATAATAGAAAAAAATTGTTTTCCTTTTGAAGAAATAATGTCAGAAAAATTTCCAAACTTGATAACTACCCATTGTTGTGGTTTAGATCTATGCTTTCCCCCCAGAATCTTGTGTGTTCAGAAGTGGGACTTTTAGAAGGTGTTGGGATAATGGGGACACTATACTCAGCAGTGATGTAACTCATTGATGAGTTCATAGCTCAGGTGCTGTTAGGAGGTAGGCCTGGTTGGAAGAGCTGTGTCACGGAGGGTGTGACTTTGCAGGGTATATTCTCCTCCCTGGCTCCGTGTCTCTCTCTCTCTCTCTCTCTTTCTCTCTCTCTCTCTCTCTACTTCCTGGCTGCTGTGGATAAGCAGCTTTTCCTCTTTTGCCATTTCTGCCTTGGAGCTAGGTTATCCCCTGAATCCTTGGACTGAAACCTCTGAAAACCATGAGTCAAAATAAACCCTTCCTCCTTTAAATTTCATGTGTTGGGTATTTTGTCCCAGCAAGGGGAAAGTGACTGATACACCCATACATCTAGGAATCCCTGAAGAAAAAAAGAAATGAAAATTATACCAAAGCACATCATAGTGATATTGTTTAACACCAGTGATAAAGAGAAAATCTTTAAAGCATGAAGAAGGAGAACAGACTGCAAGCCTTAGGACAGAGTAGCAAGGAATGAGAAGTGGTGACAGAAGCAGTGTCCCCAGGAGAGAGACTTCGGCACAAGAAAGAACATAGCTTTGAGAGAAGAGTTTGAGAATTGAGCAAGTCCACTGATGCCCAGAAGACACAGTGCTGAGGGTTCTGGAGTTAGAGGGGAGGTCAGATTGGGAGATGGAAAAACATCTAGTGGGATAAGGATGACCTCTGAATTTTGGATCCCTTCTGTCCATAATCAGGATAAACAAGCACCATATGCCTAGTTCTGACAGCCTCAAAGGTAGGTTGAGGTGGCTGGGCTGTGACTGTGTGGGCAGGGAAGAGGCAGAGGTTGTGTTCACTCTGCTGATGGAAGTGTGGAGCCTGGGCAAGACTGGTCTTACCAAAGTGTGTGTTTTCCAAACAGCTTTGTTTCCTGATTCTTTAGATACCTATTGTAGAGACTTCTATCCCTGTATCCAATGTGTTCTCAACAAAAGGAATGATGTCATATATTGAAAGGAAGCTTCCTGCAGGGTCTGGGGGCCATATTTGAATAAAAATTTATTTTTTCAGTCATTCTTGTTTATATGAATTTGTTCTAATACCTGTCATCACATGGTTTTTGCACTCATCTGAATACTATGACCATCTGAGTTCTATTTATAAAAGTTCTACATGTCTCTTAAGCATAATTTGCTAGTGTCCTTATTAGGTCTCTTTCCTGGATGAGCTGATATCTCGTTGATGACATGGAATTAGAGTCATGACTTGTCTTGGTATGAATGAAAAGAATATATTCAAGATTATCTAACTAGGATAGATTAAGCAACATTTAAACAAGAAACCCACAGTGCTATATATATATTTTTTTTTCTTTTTAGAGCCGGGAATTAAACTCAGGTGCTTGTGAGGCAGGTATGATGCCACTGAGCTAAATTCCCAGTCCACATTGCTATATCTTTGTAAAATTGTGTTAGTAATCTGCTTTTCATGACCTCTTCATTCTTAAAAATTTAATTAGCATTATATTGTCATGTGTTTATTAAAAGCACATTTGAGTAGAAAAGTGTACTAGCTTTTAGTAGTAACAGTAGAAAGCCTGATGATTTGGACCATATGGTGATAAACTATGCCCCATTACTTCTTTACTAGCTCTTACCCTAGACAAACAAAATCTTTAGAAAAAATAAACATCATGTATACTGTAAGGCTCATACAGGCCCAAATCTACAGAATTCTATTCAGTAGCTTATTGGATAGCCAGTGTAATCTTATAAGAGGAATGTTGTGTGATTTTAGGATTTTTATGACAGTGTATTTATTTCTAAATAATTACATTCTATTTCTTGTATGTATAATGTGGTTTTAAGTCTGTGTTCCATTAGTAGAAACAGCAAATGAGCAATGTGTATGCTTTACTTGTTACTGAGAAGCTCAGTTCTCTCTGGTATCCCTTCTGCCAAATTATATTAATCATATTGAGGTTATATAAGAATATTATAAAGTTAACTGAGTTCATGTCACAAGTTATTCTTAGTGTAGCACATATGCACCTAATCTGGATCTCAGATGTGTTTTCCTTGCCATGTTGGATCTGTATAATTTTAGTTTTACTGACTTTGTTTCCTTCGAGCAGAGAAGCAATTTCAAAACCAAGCATTTAACTATCTCCTTCCACAAAAAATTCTAGAAAAAAGAAATGTGAATCATTTATATCTGTTCACTACGTGAAATGGCTTCAAGGAGATGTTAGATTTTAGAAAAGTTTGAAGGCATGTAGGCATCTCTGCCACAGACCTGGCATGAGACACCTGTATGATATAGCTGCCACCAACAGTAAGATTATACTAGTTCAGTATTAATAAAATAAAATGATCCCAAAATAGGAAGATAGACTTCTGTTATACTCTGCAAATATTGTATCTATTTCTGGTTACCTTGTTTGGGTACATATTTTTATATTCTCTTCTGCCCTTTTATCCTGTGACCAACCACCAACACACATTTTGAAAATAACTGATCTTACTTGGGTTACAAAGGAAAAAGCTGTGTGACCCATATTATCTTCTGAAGTCCTAAGCCATGCTTTTTATTTTTTAAGAACATCATTCTCTATGTTGAAAACCATTTGATAAATCAAGAAAAAGTCGTACACTATTATTGTGAAGTCCTGGGGTACTACTTTCTATGGCCCTGTAACAAACATTAGGCTTTCTTAGTTATAAATAAAATATGTAGTTGGCCAGTTGTTATTTCATTTGAGAAAACTTCAAGTAGTACTCTATCACCTTACAATACTTTTTAGGGACAGTATAGTGTTGTTTTATTGCATTTGAACATTAGAATTTTTACTTGGAGATATATAATAATGTTTTAAAATTATTTTTTATATGTGTTAGTTACTTTTCTCTTGTTGCTGAGATAAAATACCTGACACCCAAAGTTAAAGGGGAAAGGGTTCCTTTAGCTCATAGTTTGTAGAGGTTTCAGTCCATAATTGGCTGACTGGTCCCAAGGCAGAGTGGCATGGCAGAGGGGCATCACAGAGGAGAAACAGTTCATGACACCCACACAGTAGCAAAAGTAACATGGGAACCTTAACAGGGTCTTTCTGCTCCTTTTATCTTATTTAGATTACTGGGATTAGGGCAGTGGCAAACCAATGAGAGGACTGATTTAGTAATCACACGCTGTTCATTCTGGCATCACACACTCTAGATCCGGCTACCTCTGAAAAAGCCACCTATGACTGAATGAGGCTTTCGGGGAACATGCAGACCCAAACCATAACACTATAATTTTAATATTATATCTGAACATTCTAGTCATTCAGAATGAAAAATTAGAGCTAATAGAACTTTTCCTTTATCTTTAATGTCATCATTCCAGTTCCAGTTTTCTGTTAAAGTCATTCCATATTCAGCATGTGGGGTTGGTTTGGTTTTTTTCATGTTGAGGTTTACAGAGAAAAGCCGTATGTTAAAATGTATCAGTTGATTGGGTAGAAAAATATTTATTATTAACATTGAACTTACTTAGGAGACAGTGAAACTAATCTGGCTGTTTTGTTTCCTTTTAGGTCTGCGAGTAACTGTGCTTCTGACATCTTTCCTTATGGTTTTGGGTACTGGTCTAAGATGCATACCTGTGTCAGACTTAATGCTTAGAAGAAGGTAAATCCTATGAATAACTCGAAAGATTTTCTCATATTTGTCTAATTTAGCATAAATATATTATATATCTTTGATTATAAGCCTGCAGTAAGTAGTTCCATTTTTTGATCCATAGAGTCACATTTATAGAATTTTTACCCCATGTGATGATTAATTTAGTTTATTATTATATGGAAAGTGCTATACTAATTGTGGAAATAAAAGAAACAAATTAATCTTTATACTACCAGCACTTATAATAACCACGAAAAAATAATATATAACAGTATATTTATAATATAGTGCCCTTAATATCATAGCAGAGAGGTTAAATTACCTCATGAGATGGAAAGGAGTTTTAGCTGAGGGTATCAAAAAAGAGAGTTCATGAAGGAGGTGACAGTTAAACTAAGTAGAATTTTGAGGATTGTAATCGGGGAAGAACAAGAGTGAAGGCCTGTGCAGAAGCAGATAAGCAGGGGCCTCTCCCCGGGTAGGTAAGTCGTTTCATTCATGTGCAGTGTTTCTGGATCCTTGGCTTCATCTTCATGGTGTGCAAGATACATGAAGATCTTAGGATTCTGTCCTCACTTTGGTTATTATTGTAAACAATTGTTTATCTTAAACAATCTGCAATAAAAGACATTTTTATTAACGAATATAAATTTCTTAAACTGGATATAAGTTTTTCAAACTGGAGTCCTTGAATGTGACCATAAGAGAAACTGAGATTTGGTTTTTTTTCCCCCTTTGAGAAGAGCCCGTAAATTACTCAAGTTTGGGAGACACTGGTCTACCAGCTAAGGTGTAAGAATGGATATAAAGAGATGAGGTCAGAAAAAAGGGTTCCCTGCATATGAAGGCTCATATGCATCCTATCGAGAGCTACCGCAGACCTTTTAGAGGAGTGACAGTGTCAGACCTGTGTTTGGTAAACTGCTGACTGAAGTATGTAGGCTTGACCTCAGTGGGTAGAGACTACTTCCAGGAGACCTGGGAAGATGCAGGAGAGAGCCCAAGCTGTACTCATTCTTTTGTTTATTTCTTCATTTGTCCACCTATTCAGCAAAATTCACTAAGCCCCTACTATGTGCCATACTCTGCTGGGCATTGGGAATAGAGAGAGAACAAAACAGACAAACAAAAAACTCACTTAGAGAGTTTGGAGAATGGTGATAACTAGATAAATAAGTAAAATATGTAGTATGTGCTGTGGAGGAAAAAATAAAGTAGGAAGGAAGGATTTTAATTGTTATGAGAAGGATGGCGAGACTTCAGAAAGAAAAGAGTTTACCGGGATGATAGTCTTCTAGGATGAAGACCTGAAGGATGTAATAATGGGAGATGCTGTATCTGGGAGATGATTGTTCAAGCAGAGAGTACAGCAGGTGTCAAGGGCAGAGGTAGAAGAGCATAGCTGCAGGGAAGCCAGTAGGGCCAGAGCCGGGGCAGTGACTTCACAGAAGTAGAGACAGACCAGAGGTCGGACAGGGCCATTGTGGAGCCAGATCCTGCTGCTCCTATGAGGACTTCAGATCTTTCAGAGCAAAGATATCACTAGGTTTAAACTGCAGAGTGTCCTCATTGCAGGCTGCTGTACTGAGAGTAGACTGAAGCTGGAGGTCACAGGTGCAAGTAAGGTGACCAGCTGGGGAAGCAACCAGGGAGCCTGGTGATGGTAGTGTGAGCCGTCGTGTTGGCAGTGATAGTGTGAAATGGTCAAATTCTGATTACATTTTGGATTTGTTGGTGGACCAGATGTGGGGAGGAAGAAGAAAAGGAATCTAGAATGACTGTGCTGCAGGAAGTTAGGAAAATGGCATGAGAGAGAACATGAGAAAAAGAAATTGGAGGTGATACAGCACTGGCCTCATTCTTGGAGTCCAGAAACTATTGATTCCATTAACAGAGATGAGAAACCCAGCGGAAGTGGATTTTAATGATGACATGTTGACTTTCATTTGGAACAGAATTGTTCTGTTTAAAAATGAAAGTTCAGTTTTGAATTTATGTTTTTCCAGAAAATTCAGCATATCAAGTATTTCATATTTTAAAAGGAAAATAGAAAAATAAGTTGGATTCCTGTGGAATGCTACTTATCGTTTCTCATGCTTCTGAACTAGATTTTATCATATGACTTTCATGGTTATGTTTAAGACAATTTTTTTTTTTTTTTTTTTGTACTGGGGATTGAACTCAGGTCCTTGTGCTTGCAAGCAGGCCACCAAACTGCTGAGCTAAATCCCCGGCCTTAAGACAATCTTAATTGTTAAATATCCAAATCTTTTAATGCATGTACCATCTTTAAATACAAATTTCAGCATAAGCATAAATTCAACAGTACATTATTTAAAGATACTTATTAATATTTTGTTAGCTTTTATTCTGTTTGGGGGCATCTATATTATTTCTAATATATTTATATCCTTTCCAGATATAAAATTCTAGGAATAAAGAGTTGCTTCTCTGTCTTGGCCAAGAAGATGATATTTAAAAGAAATAGAACTCATAAAGAATTGTAAACAAAGAGAGGAAGATAAACAAAGAAATAGAGTTCAAAGAGATTGAATCCTTCATAAAAAGATGAAATAAATTAAATTTTCAATCTTCTGTGTTCATCTATAAAGAATATAGGAGTACTTCCCCTCTGAAATAAGACTTTGCTTTGTGTCCATGCAGTCCGTCTTTTAAGCAGTATTATTAGCAGTGCACTGTGCAGCTGTTAAAATGGAAATATTATTGAACATAATATTCTCAAATAATAAATTTCATAGATCACTACTTTGAGGTTTCAGTATCCACAAACTCAGAAAAAGGAATATAATTTGTAATATAATTTTGAACAGAACTGAAACAAAAGCTTAGCAATCTGTGCTTTTGCACCCTTTTTTCACTTAGAGCTTTTTGAGCTTCTGACCAATCTTATGGATGGTGCCCTGCATCTTTGTCTGCCTAAATCTTGGCTCCTGTAAGCCTTAGACATAAGAATAGCAGCTTGCTGCAGGCTAATCCTAGGAGAGTTTTACTTCTGAAAGGTCTCAGTATACTCATCATTATTTTGTCATTTTTCTCTTATTAACATCACAGATACATAGGAAACTTAGACTAATGTTATAAAACATTTCTTCCATGATCTGGAAGCAAATTTGACAAAAACTTACAAATGACATTGTTCTATAGCAATGAGTGACATTACTCTATAGCGTGAAATACTATATGTACAGTGAAGGGTGAACTTATAGTAAGTTGTATTTGCCCTTAGTCATACTATATGTATATGCAGTGATTCCCATAATACATTCCTTATTGCCTTTCCATTCTGAGTAATTTCAATTAAAATGAACAGTAAATAACATTACTACATGTGTTAAATAGTTAAATAGTATGGCTTTATAACATAGATTATTTTTTAGACATACTCCCTTGTGAAATGCTTGCATTTTAACAGAAAAGATTGTTTACTGAATGGTTTTATGACAGCTACTTAGTTATCTAGGGAAAAATAAAAAATAACCTAGATTCTTTCCTTACCACTTAAGTAAATTCTTCATTGGGTCAGAGACCTAAACATTTTAAAGAACGAACCATGAAAACATTAGGAAATGATTGTTTTAAAAAATCTAATAGTGAGAAGGGCCTTCCAACTCAGATCTCAGAAGAAAGGCATAATACATTTGGGAATGTCTTCATGATTAAATATACAGTAAGCCAAATCAAAAAACAAGTCAAAAAGTAACAAATGTTTGCAACAATAAGATAAATTGGGCCAGGAGTGGTGGCACACACCTGTAATTCCATGATGTAGAGAAGCTGAAGCAAGAGGATTCCCACAAGTTAAGAGGCCAGCCTGCACTACATAGTTGAAGGCCAGTTTGAACTACATACCAAAACCTACCTCAAAGAAAAAAAGCCCCAAAATAAATAAAATTGATAACTTCCTTAGTTGAAAATAATTCTTTCAAAGATAAAAAAAATAGGAAAATGGGTAATGGATGTGAGCAAGCAGTTGCAGAAATTAAAATATAAATGACATAAACTTAGGGAAGGAGACTGTCTTAGTTACTTTTCTTGTTGCCAAGACAAAATACCCAACACCCACAAGTTAAAGGAGGAGAGGTTTATTCCAGCTCACAGTTTGTAAAAGTTTCAGTCCATAGTTGGCTGGCTCCAAGGCGGGGTGGTGTGGCAAGGGGGCACAGCAGAAGAAAAACAGTCCATGGCAGGGCAGGCAGAAGGCAGTGAAGCAGTGAACTTCCCTCTCACTTTATATTTCATCCAGAATACAACCCTACTGGAGGGAAAGGGAGTTTCTATTACTCACTCCCAGAACTATGCTGAACCAATCAGTGAATTAATTTAGTTATCATATACTCTCAATCTATATTCACACACCCTAGATCCAGTCACCTCTGAAAAGCCCCACCTATGAGCACATGACTCTTTGGGGGGATATCTAGATACAAGCCATAACAGAACTAACTTTCTACCATAATTTAAAAAGTTAAAACAGCAATTATATATCTATTTAATGGCAAAGAAGGAAAAATATGGTAATAGGCAATGTTCCCTGAAGCGTGAGGAAAAACAGGAACTGCTGACATGAGCAGTTTGGGATGTCCTTCTTTGAGAGTATGCTGGCCATGTATAAGATTCAAATTGTCCCTGTCCTTTACAGAAAAGCCCACATGTAAAGCTCTACTGTGTTTATGAAGCTTTGCTTGTAATGGGAGATGGTTGTATGCAACTCAGATGCCTACAGCAGAGGACCGTGTGGTGTGTAGTGGAACAGTATGCAGCTACAAAAATGAAGTAAAAGTTGTATAAGTGCTAATAAAGAATACCTCCAAGATATATTACTAAGTAAAGAGGCCAGGTTTAGAACATTATGTTTAATATGTGCTTACACAGAATAATAGAAAGGGCATGTATAGCAATTTTTGGCAAGGACTATTTTATTTTTAATTTTTGTTAATACATATTTGCAGAACATAATGATTATATTCGTCATAGGGAATTGTTAT